ATATTATTTGGAATTTTGGCTGACAAAATGGGAAAAGAGCGCACTGCAATTTTATTTATTGTAATAACAATAATATTGTGCTGTCCTTTGCTATCTATTGCACACTACTACAAAAGTTATCTTGTGATTATGCTGAGTGTAATGGCTTTGTCCATGATCGAGAGGGGTATAAATCCCATCGGAATAGTAGCATCTGAATTATTTCCTACAAAAGTCAGATTTAGTGGTGTTAGCTTATCACGTAACATATCCTTTACTTTGCATGGAGGATTTACTCCCATGATATGCACTTGGTTTACTATAACCTTTTCTCAAGTAAAATTTGTTTCTGGACTTTATGTGGTATTGTGTTTATTAATCAGTTTAGTGGCTATATTGCAGATAAAACCACGAGACAAAAAACTTTAGACTCAATGGATTTTACAAAAGACCTATTAAAAATTAAACCGCAACCCAACCTCAATGCTATGAGTGGTTATATCATCTGCCACGGGTATAGGGATGCTAAAATAGCGGCAGCAGAGAAAAAGATTCATTTCTGGAATAATAGAATAGTCAACACCAAGTTTTGCTTGATACGCAAACCAAGGAACGTTTAATGGTATCAGGTTCTGCAACGATTTGCTAAACTTTTTTAATCTAAAAATTGTTGGCCCTATACCAAAACCTACATATGGAGCAAATTTTGTATTTTTAATGGCGGGACTGTAATGCAAATTTAATAGAAGTGCCAATATACTTGCGGATTTATTAAACACAGGGGCATCACTACTATTCTTAATATTGATTTGAGAGTGCATAATTTCAAAATCAACTCGACCATTTTCCTTGACGTAACAACCTAGAGATGAGCTACCAAGCCATTGAAAATCAATAGCACCTTTAAATTTATTGATATCATCAACTTCTTTAGCTATTATCCTTTTTATAAAAGCTGATAAATAACTATCTTCTTTAACTAAATCTTGCACCCTTTCTCCTATTGCTTTTATACCTTCTACAAACACCTCTGAATTGTCAGAAAATATTCTACCATAACCGATGCTAGTGTAAAAGCCATATACTTTATCATCTTGTAGTTGTGAATTAACATCAATAGACTTTTTTTGTAACTTGATTTCCGATGGCAATTTTTTTGTTGATACTCTCTTCAATATGTACTCATCTGCACTACTTCCATAATCATAAATAGGTTGTTCAAAAGGCGTGGTAATGTACTTAGCATCTCGACTATAGATAAGAAAAAAAGAGGCAAATGAAATGGTAATAAAAAATAAAGAGATAGATCTTCTAATCGTCACAAGTAAATCCATAGTTTAAAACGTATGGTATAATACTACCATAAATTCATT